ATAAGGTATTCATCCAGCATGTCATGAACACAACAAACCGCTTGGCTTCCTATAAGACACTGTATTGCGAAAATTGTTAATTTTGCCTTCATATACCGCTCCGTAAGTTTTTGACCAGCTTTCCTATTACATCCTTATATTTCCGCAGAAAACTGTTGTCCTATAACAGAAAGATCCCAATCGAACTGTTTTATAAATCTTCTTTTGTTTTTTTAAAGTCCTCTTTTATGCTTAGCCAAAAGTACAGTAAACGACATTTCAGCTTCTTGAATTCTTCTCATATGAGCAAATACTAATTGGACGTAATTTTCAGATGTGAGTTACACCTGCGATGATGGAAGCTGCGCATCTATTCTTTAAATAATCAGCATTTTAAATTGTCACGAGTAATCGCTTTCAGCGACGTCTGTCGACCATTAACATACTGAATTCGTTTTCTTTCGATGTAATTGTGAAGCCTGATTTAATCTCGACCATTGACTGTCATTAGTGGTTTGTAAGTTCCCATTTGCATTCATATTTCAACGTTTATTTTAATCACTGCTTCTAGAATCGGATGGATTACTCATGCAAATTAAAAGCGGCATATTTCCTGGAAAGTCCCTGCGGGACTCCATGGTTTTTATTTCTTCAACCGCAGTAAGGGGTCATATTTAAAACTGATTTTCACGCTTGTGTTCAAGAGGCTGACTACTGTACCTAAAAATATTTTACTGCGCATATGAATGGACTTGGAGACTTCAAATTTCGCTGTGGCAGTTAATCGATTTTTTTTTTTTTTTTTTTTTGTATCAACATCTTTATATATAATGTTGTATGATCTTAAATCCATTTAGTGCGAAAACAAGTTATTACTACTTGCGCAATTGCGGCAAAGTTAGTTGATAATAATTTATTTCCTAAACAGTATTGATTAATTGATTATATTATCTCCCAAGTTAAATTAAAGTAGAATTATTTTAAAAGAGTGAATCCAAACTGGTAAGTTATATTTTGAAAGATGTTTTGAAGTAATTTGAAAGCAAAATGTTAATAATGTTTTAACGGGGACTGGCCTTTATATCTTCATGTACATTCACTGTTCTTATATATTATTTTTATATTGTCTTTGATTTGTTTTTACAAAGTTTGCATTATTTATCTTATTTTGTAATCTTCTATGTTTATTTCAACTTTACTTTAAATTCGATTTCATAATGACAATTTCCAATGTTTAATTTTTACAAATAATATAGAACTCAAATGCATAAACATGAAAGTGTCGAGGAAGTTTACTCGAGTTAATTAGGATTTCTCTACAGTAATTGCTTTTTACACCAAATTGAATTGACTAAAATGCTTCATAAGAATAAGTTCTTTGAGTATCAGCATTGGTTCATAATCCCTTCTATTCGCGGAAATATTTGGCCTGACTAGAATTGCCGGTTTGGCTTTAACTTATAACTCGAGTAAAGACGAAACACTTTCGTATTTACGTATTTTTTTTTCAATTATTGTTCATTGAACGGGAGTTGGTTTGTTCCCCTTGAAAAGTCAACTAATTTCCGATCAATGACAATGATTACATGCATTTAGTTTAATTTTTCCTTTTACAATTGAATTTTTGTTCTTCATGATGATTTAATTCTAGTCCCCGTTAAAACATTATTAACATTTTACTTTCAAGTTACTTCAAAACACCTTTCAAAATATAACTTACCAGTTTGGATTCACTCTTTTAAAATAATTCTACTTTAATTTAACTTAGGAGATAATATAATCAATTAATCAATACTGTTTAGGAAATAAATTATATATATATATTTGTAAAATTGATAAATTAAAAGGAAAAGTCGGATCTTAATTGATAGATAATAATTTCTTCCCTGTGAAGGCCCTAATCAATTCTTTCTCAATAAAAGTCGTAACCCTAAAAGAGAATATGTAAAATTAAACTTCAAATACGTATACAAAACTGAAAATAATACAGTATTTGTATCAGGAGTTACATTTACTAATCTCAAGAGATTTTTGTTCCGAATTGCATTTAAAGATGATTTATTGTTGCTGAATTATTGTTAGTCCAAAGGGGCGTTAGCTCAGAAGAATTAGTTCTGTGTCCGCGATTCCCCTTTTTTAGTTGTTCAAAATTCTTCCTGTTCCCGCGAAATCGGAGAGTACAGTTCCCCTCCCACAGCTCCTCAGGGGATGTCACGATAAGTCATTAAGAAGAGCTGGGCAGTTTCTATGTGAATAAGTTAGTCTTCGCTTAGGCTCCTCTCGAAATCTTTTAATTTCATTCTATTTATGATTCTGCTACAATATTAGCTGTTATTTTCACATCTTATGTTAATTAATATGGATGTTTCAGACATTATTGAAACTAAAAGGAAAAAAATCTTTAGCGCTTTATAAAGGTTATCAGTATCGAATTCGAAATAGAAAAAAGGAAAATGTAGTTTATTGGATTTGCATAAACGAATTTATATTGGATTTGCGTTAAAAGCTGCAAAGGCGCAATTAAAACTAAAGTCGTTTTAGAAGAAAGAACGTCATTTTAGAACTTCATTTTAGAACGAATATTTTTTCCGAAAGATTTTATTATAACTTACTTTTATGCAGAATTTTGAAAGATTATTTTTTAATTTCGGAAACGATCTTTTAGTTCATTGCCAAAATCATCGCAGAGTTCGAACATCTCTGTCCTTTTAAATAGAGTATTAGATTCATTCATGCAAAGATCTGAGATCGTAAATATTTTTCGATTATTAGTCTTAAAAATTCTTTTTTCTAAATTAAAAATTTTTTTTCGTTCCTACATTTTGAGAGAGGCCAAGGTCCACTCGGCCCCTCACTATGTAACCTCTTTGAAAAGGGGGCGTAGTGACGATTGATGATTTCGCGGAAACAGGAACGTTTTTGACAACGCAGAAACAGGAAGACACCGCTTAGAAGAGCTATTAATTTCGTTTTGGCATTTTGCGTTGGTTCACTATAAGTCTGAATCACTTTTTAATTTGTTACTACCAAATGTTAGAGCCCTGCATTTTATTTTATAAGGTATTTCTCCCACCTCCTTGGTGTGCCTTCGTGGTGGGATGGTCTGCACCCTGGGCGCGTATTCCAGAGGTCCGTGGTTCGATTCCCGGCGAAGACGGTTGCTCATTTTCTATCCTTCCTGCTTCCAAATTACCTAATGTCTCTACAATTTTTTAAAAAAAAATTAAATAATGAAGAATCTGTATCAATGCATGTATGTTTCTCGCAGTGAGGGGAAAAAATTCATCAAATTTGGAAGAACGTAGCTCTCCACTCGAATATAGGCATCTGGAAGCTTAGATCTGGAATCAATATATATATATATATATAATAAATGAAAAGTATATATTCATTGCACCTTATTTTGCTTATGTTATTAATTTTTTCACGGAAATTTTAATTCTTGTTGCCGTAACATCTCCAATGATCATTATTCAGCGTATTATTTTACTCATAATCACTGGGATTATTTTTCCAATTGCTCATTTGTTGCAGTGACATCTCCTAAACAGAGTAATCACGATTTCAAAAAATTTCAATTTTCTGTTAAGTGATAATAGAATGATCCTTATAAATTTAAAATTCAAGTATATAACTATACTTGCGATTATTGAAAGACCCTCATATATGACTTGAGCAGCAAATGTGGTAGTGGTCACACAGTAGTAGAGATTAACTGTGCGAGTAAGTGTTCGTTTACAAATCGAGGCTTTGCTAAATAATATCTGTTGCCAGTGAAAGTGTAAAACAGCGATCATGTCTAATTTTTGAAGAGGTAAAAACGTAAAATTTTTAATTTTGTTCCTGTTTCTAATTTAAAAAATGGAACTAAGAACTATTTAAAATTTTAACTTGTTTTTAATGTTTGTTAAAAATTAGGCAGAAAAAGCAACCTTAATTCGCCAATAGATTTTGAATGAAACTCAAACTTATTTTGGACATAACTTAATTTTATTCAAAATATATGCCAAAATGAAGTTGCTTTTCTTGCTTAATTTTAAAATTTATGTTGACGTTTTTCTTATCTATTTGATTTTAAATGTTATTGAAGGATTTTAAAGCATACCTGAATGCAGAGGCCCCTGTGCCATTGTGCAGATCGGACCCTGAGTACGGTCAGTTTAGTTGCGTAGTGTTCTACTGTTACGGTTTTTGTATTTAGTTTAGCTATGTTTAGCAGAATTTGTAATTAAAATTGTTTCATATTTCCGTGCAATGCAGTACGAGACTTATCTGAAGAGAAATCTACGCCGGAAAAATTAAAATATAGAAGCACGCGCATTTAACATTTTTATAAATAGATATCTCGTAATTTTGCTTTCCGGAAATCTCGAGAAATAAAAAATTACCAGAATGTTCTCATGCAGAATTAAAAAGCTTATACAAGCTGGAGGAAAACATCTCAATTCAGTTTTTTATTTAGTGCTGTTATAGCGAATTCACGGTGAGATCGGATTAGCTTTCTCATTGAATTGAGTTCTATTCAACGTTTTAGTAGTTTAAAATATAACTACTGGGCGAAATTATTATACGAATATCTCTAAGGCAATTTCAGCATTTTGTGTTTACTTGTTGTGATAAGAATAAATTTTATTCACTTTTCATTGGACTTGTGCATTAAATTTATTATGAAACCATACGCACGCAACACTATCATAATGAGTGTCTGCGTCTGGTCAGTTTGTTCATTAATTTTGTATACTTTAATTTATATGCTTTGAACTGAATTAATTTATATTCATTAATCTGTATACATTGAACTTAGTTTAGACTTTGTATACTTTGCACGTTTGCGTCTGGTCAGTTTAGTTAGGCAGTATACTATAATAATGAAATTATATGTATTTTTTTTAATATCGAAACCTAACATAAGTTGAACACAGTTTCTTTTATATATATATATATATATATATATATATATATATCAGTTTTGATACTGTAAATTAACAAAATTAATTTTTCCCTCCTTCTGTCTTTTGCAGGTTCTAAGAATACGAGTGATGGATATTCCTATTTTGTAGAACCGGTGAGACATACATGAAAAACAAAAACGTTCCTCTTCATTTCAAACTCAGGTTAGAGAAATGGACGTTCACACATATTGCATCTGAAAGCTACCATTCAGCCTTGATGGATATTCTGGCTTCGAGGGCAATAGAATTCAAACTGCATACCTTCCGTTGCAGACCGAGATTAACTACTTCACTTCATTTCATCTATTATTTATATTCCACGTAAAAAAAGTAATGGCCTAAAAATTCAAATGTATTCATTGACTTTTTTATTATTTTATTGTCATTTTGTTATATACTGGAAGTACTTTCGTCCCCTGTCTTTATAATATGAAAAATATCTTGATATTTATCATCTGTTTGCTTTATTAGCTGTTCATTTCAAACTGTTAGAATGCTAGTTTTTTAGCTTGGACAATTTGTTTTGAATTCTATCATTTCTCACTCAAACTCGTGCTGTACGCTCCGTACCATAAAAAAAAAACAGTCTAATATTTGAAGAAAGTAATTTACTTAGCATCCTCGAACTTTTTAAATTAAAGCATATTTGCATTTGGTTATTTATACCTTTTATTATAATTCTTCAACCTCAGTTTATTTTTTTATCATATTCATCTATACGCAAAGTTTTTTTTTGTTACTCCTTTCTTAAACGCATTCGAAAATGCGAATCAATCCATTATGGTACTTGCTGATTACTTAATAATTCTAGAAATTAGATTTAAGAATTAGCGATAGAAATTTTGCTAACGAAAGATGTGTGTTAGATATTGATATTGCCAAATTGGGAGAGGGGTAAATTACTGTTCGCTCATGATAGTCACATTTTTGTGTAATAAATACAAAAATAATATCAAAGTTCTATCTGTAGCTGAATTTGACAGGTAAACGTTTGAAAATGTTAGGGCACGCAATTACAGGAAGGGATCGTTAGGGCTTAGGAAAATTTAGGGCACGCAATTACATACGTTTAATATATGAAAAATCTTCTGTGAAATATCTTTGTTTAAAGTACTTTTATTTAAAAAGATGAAAAAGTAATGAAAATTGGGTGCTACTTTGGTAGACGGTTGCACGGATTTGGGCGATTTTTCTTTTGGCGAGTAATACAACTTATGGTAAACCCATTGCTGGATAAGTTATTTATGGTAACCGATACTTTGTTGTCATTTTATTAAAAAAAATAATGCGTTTTATTATGCATAAATTTCGTGTTTTAAATATTATTTATGGCTTCTAAATATTAAAAATCAATTTAATTTTGCATTTTTCTTTGAAATAAAAATTTTGTTGTTTATAATATTTTATATAATTTTATGTTGTGGATGATGTAATCAATGACGTCACCTTACTTAAAAAGTAATTGGTTTTATTAATATCAATAAATTTAATCTAATGTTTTAAACATTATTTATGGCTGTTAAATATTAAAATGCAATTTAATTTTGCATTTGTTTTAAAAATGATTTTATTATGAATGATTATTTAAATAATTTTAATTCTATGCGTGATGTAATCAGCTCCCTGATTGGTTACTGAATATTTGTGCATTACCGCGCCATTTTAAAATTTTATTATTCATCTCTTCGAATTCCTCAGATTTCAAATGGAATGGATATGTCCTTTTCGAAAATGAATGTTGGTATTGGTAATTACCAAGAATTATTGCTATTGGAATAAAAAAATTGCCCTTTGAGAACTTATTTTGGCCAACCTGTCTTTCCTAATCAAAGATTTATTTATAAATTGTTAATAGCATCAGAGGAAATTTATTTTAAATTTTTGGAGGAAACCTCGTTAATTGCTTCTTCAATGAAGTGCGAGAAATGTGGATTACAGATGAAGATGGTTAAAAGAGCAGATTCAATTATGATTCCGATTTTTTTTTTGTGCTACTTATCAATAAACAACAGGTTAAATGACTCAAAAAAATATAAGTACATATTTTTCTTTTATTTTATAATTGTATACTTCAATTTTTGTTTAAAAAATTAATACACTATTTTCAAAAATTGCTGAGATAATTATTGTCACATATGTTTTCATGTTAATTATATTCTATATAACGTATTTTAAAGTATTTGTATTTAATAATAACCTAATTCTTTTAAATGTTAGTATGATGGTTTTTAATTCGATATTCAATTTCAGTAATATTTTAATCTAATTAAACGTTAGCACAATGTTTTTATAGCGGTGTTTTTATTCTCTTTTTTGCTATATGAAAGTAATAGTAACCTTTAGTATTTTATACTCATAGTAAATGTATTTATTTACACTTGCCTGCCATCTTACAAAACGACATTTTCAACAAAAAATTAATCCATTACTTTTAACGATATTTATCTTTTTTTAAGCTTCGAATACCTAACTATGCGTTAAAACAGCGTTTTTCAAGATGGCTGACGATTGTAAAAATCGCGCCAACAATTGCGCCAACGTTAATTGCCAAAAAACCGTGCAACCGTCTACCAAAGTAGTACCGAAAATTGCTGTTTTTTATTTTTGAAATATTCTGCGCTATTCTAATCAACGTAAAATTGTTTATATCTCAACAGCTATCAATGAATATTATTTAATTAATTTTATCTATTATCAGTTTGCATCACGATGCAATAACAGTTCTGCTAATAAATTGTGGACATTATTCCAATTCGCTTTGGAGAAATTACGAAATTATTAGAAACACATTTGAAGAAATTTCGGAGAATTGTTGGTTACATCTGCCTTGACAAGAAATGGGAATCGGCGCGTTTCAGCTTTGGCGAATAACAGATGTTCCCACAAGCAATTTAGTCTATGTCTAAAATACATCGTTCATTTATGCAACATATACTAAAGGAATTTAATATACATTAAGAAACTTTCATATTTCACCATCGAACAGTTTCAACAAGTCGCCAAACAGTACAACATAGGGCTAGTAATAAATAAATAAGCATAACGTAACATTATATTCGTAGAATCTTCGCTTTGGTTGTATGTAATCCCAATCCACTATAAGCCACGTTAGTTTTTGTAAAAAAAGATATTAGCAAAGGAGCAGCAAGCAATGGAGCTTCGGGACCGATGCGAACTCAAAATATTGAAAGGCAAAATGGCGCAATGAAAGATTCTACAAAACCCCGGCAGCCGGAATGATTAGCACTAGTTTCAATGAATTTCGTTGCCAGGTAATCAATGCGTACAAACATACTCGAAATGTAACTAACTCTCTGGTAGACACAAAAAGATTTTTATTCCCCAACTTGCAGTTGCGTTATTACGGCCATTTTCACAAATTCTCTTGAAGGGCAAAATGCGTTCCTTTTGGGGGGGGGATTAAATAAAATGCATCTTTTTCCACCGACTAGCCAGGGGCCAACCTTCGGTGTGGCATGTTTAATAGGTCAAAACGAGCACATGCCAGACCGAAGGCTGGTCGCTCAAGCAAGTAGTAAAATTAAAAGAATAAAAATAGTAAATACCATCGCTATTAACATAAAAGACGAACAATAGTATTTTACTAACCAAAGAGCTATGGAAAACATTTTACTTAAAGCCAGTTTTTTGATACTTTAAACTTTTATTCTATGCAGTTTTCAAATTTTAATCTTTTGTGCTCAAAATCCTAAAAGTTACAACAAGCTCGCACGTTTGTTACAACGTGCGAGCAGAAATAACTTATGCAGTGCTCACATGAATCTTTTTGAATATAAAAATTCATTAAGATTGTCTAAAATGCAATATAAATAAATAACGGATTTCAAGAGTATAAAACTACGTGTGCTTAAAATTTAGTATATGCGAAGAAGTCGTATACATAATTTTTTTCCCTTCATAATAGAGATGGCAAAAATAGTAAACATACTGAATATTTGGCAATAAAAAAAGAAATCTCAGTAAATATTCACGAATTGAATAAACAAACTATGTGCATAAGAAAAATAAGAAGAAAGAGAATGAACTACGTGCACATTTGGCAAGTCAGTAAATGTGTGTTTCTCGCCATGTCTAAAACGCGCCATTTTCTGTTTCTGGTCAAGGCCTCTGTTATTGACAAGTACCGAAGTTTTGTATGAAATTAATTGACGATTTTGCAAATGCGTTTGATTATTAATATGTTAATTAAATCACATTGCAGAAGAACTTGTAATTCAAGGCCTGTAAATGTGCTTTATTTTCATTACTTATTATGTTACCATTAATGACCCTATTGCTTAACTGAATATGATACTAATAGTTCCTCTCAATGTGACAGAGGTTGGACATTCACTTTTGTCGCAGCCTGAACCTTTCTTGCAAAAGTTTCTGCTGAGTTCCGAAAGACATTAAGAAATATTTTCTTCTGTTCATATTGCAATATGACAAACAGCTCTGTGCCAGCTTTGGAAGCAGTTCCGCTTGCTGTCGACTGTCGCTCTGACTTATCCGAATTAGTTCTGTTTCCGCGATTCCTCTTTCCGCGTTTTTCAAAATTCTTCCTGTTCCCCCGAAATCGGAGGGTACAGTCCCCCTCAAACAGCTCCTCAGGGAATGTCCATGGAGGTAGGAAAGGGATGAGGGGCCAACCCGTGCTAAAAGTGAAGCACTGCTTTGAAGCTTGGGTAACCAGATGGGGTGTTCTTTGTTTACATTCAGAAACTCGCTTGACAAGATTCTGATAGTATTTCGACACACGACAGTTCCATAGAAATCGAAAAAGGGACACTTTCGCATGAAAGAAACATTCATAGTGTGATGGATAATAGCAATTTGTATAGTTTTATTGACATTTACGCAAAAATCACATCCTAATTATTTTCGATAACAACAGCGATTTTGATTATGAATTTGTTTTATAAAATTCTAAGCTGTTGCACTACAAAAATATAGATTTTAAGAAAAATGTTATGCTTAAAGAATGAAATATACCTTACGGTACATTTAAAATTGTATACGTCTTTCGATACCCTTGATAGAGTATTCGCTACTTTTATTTTATTTTCCAAACGTCAAAATGTTTTAAATAAAACAAATTTTTTTCACATCGATATATTATTGTAACATGTACCTTTTAAAATTTTTTAGAGGAGAGGCTTTACTGCTGCTCATTTTAAACCTATCGTTTTAATTTTATATATCTGAAAAATAATCGCTTTGGGCTTACACGTTTTATAAATATAAAATTATGTATGTTAAAATATTTGTAATTAGGTACATAGGTCAGATTAAGTTTTTATTAAATAGAGTAACGCATGCAACGGCTATCTGTCTAAAGAGAGAGATTCCATCGTGGAGGAATTTTGAAGAAAACCTGACCTTTGAGTGGATATCAAAAATAATACTTATAGTTTTCATTCAATTATATTCATATACATTTTTTATGTAAAACTTTCGGGTGTATGCTAAATTAGTGTAAATTACTTTACACGAAAAATATAGTGAATGCACAGAAAGTAAAGATTTGCACATGCCGGAAATGAAAAACAGGAAATATGTATGGGTATTTATGCATGTGCTTGCAAAAAGCATGTATCTGCCTTTGACAAAATACTTAAATATTCATTAAATTATTTATAAATGTATTTGAAATGAAGAATTTATTCACTTATAAACAACTGTGAAAGTACTGTGAAGAAATCTAATTATTAAATGTATCTAATTTATAATGATTATAAATGTTATCTAAATATATAATAACCTTAATATTGAATTGTAAACATAAATTGAAATCCTGTTGACAAATACGTTATAAAACTATATAAGCAAGAATTGTTCGTATTGAAAAGTACTCTGTTAAAAGGTATTGTAAAGCAAATCCTATGAGATGCGCACTTAAGAACGTAATAAAGAGTTTTGGAATATGTATTGTTGAAATGAAGGGTAAAAAAAAAAAAAATCTGATAAGTATAATTAAAAGAATTATTCCCTTTACATTTTATAATAACTCAGTTACAAGTTTTAAATAATACTTAAAAAAAAAAAAAAAAAAAAAAAAAAAACTAATTTTATTCCCTTTCAGAAATGTTCAGAGAAAGTCAAATACTATTTAATACCTGCTTAATTATTAGGAATTAGCGAAATACTTATTTAAAGTATTTCGCTAATTCCTAATAATTCTCTAATT